GTCAAGCTGGCTGGCCTAAAACCGCCCGCCATGCATTAGGGAATTCTACCCCCTCAATTCTATTCACGTAGTCATCAGATTTGGCAATTTCCACCGCTTCGGCAATCAACCGCTGGGATGTTGATCGTATGCCCCTCCTAATGACCTCTACGTTTTCGAGGTCTATCTGGTGACCCGTGTCTAATGCATGCACAGCTACGGCCGAGTCTCTTACTATCGCCTGGTATTCGAACTCATTTCTTGGTAGTCTTGAAATGCGCCTCCTATGCTCCGAAATTCGTGTGCGTAATTCTCTCGCAGAATATTCGAGCACAGTTAGTAAATATCATTAAGTTTCAGCAACCGGGTGAGCCAAATCTTCCGCAGACTGAACGTATCGCATTAAATTCCTTGAAGGAAGATCGCAGCATTGTACTTACAAAGGCTAACAAGGGAAAAACACTGGTTGTAATGAATAAGTCAGAATACTTGGAAAAATGGGACAACACTTGGAGACGGGTCCATATAGAGTAGTTGTTGATAAGACAGTGGCGTCGGTAATGAACAAGAGTAAAACGGAGGTTGGTAACTATTTAAGAACCGTGAAGGACGATTTAGGGGCACGCAAGTGGTACAGTCTCTATCCAAAATCGACTTTACCTCCGAGGGTTTATGGCTTGCCAAAAGTTCACAAACCCGAAGTCCCCGTACGGCCCATAGTCGACAGTATTGGCTCCCCGACCCATGAACTTGCTAGATACTTTGCAAGACTATTGCAGCCTCTAACAGGGCGAACGAGTGCATTCGTGAAAAACTCTTATGACTTCGCTCAAAAGATAGCAAGTCTAAAAATTGAGTCAGATGATTTGATGGTCAGCTTCGATGTCACATCACTTTTCACAAATGTACCCAAAGAAGAGGCGCTAGGAATAGCAAGACGTTGTCTAAATGAAGACGTCACTCTGAATGATCGGACGAAACTAACAGTTAACCAGATAATCGAGGGAATGACAGTGTGTCTTAACATGTCTTACTTCGTTTTTCAGTCGAATCTTTACAGTCAGGAACAAGGTCTCGCAATGGGATCGCCAATATCCCCTGTACTGGCGAACCTATATATGGAAGACTTCGAGAACAGGGCGTTAACAAGCACCATTAACTCACCAAAAGTTTGGTGGCGTTATGTAGATGACACCTTTGTACTTGTTAAAAAGGATAAGAACGACGAACTGCTTGATCACTTAAACTCCATTGATGAGAGAATACAATTTACTATTGAGTTGGAATCTTGTGACGGTACAATACCATTTCTTGACTGCCTAGTTCACAGGAATGGGGGAAATTTAAAGACGACACTATATCGCAAGCCAACGGATACTGACGGCGTACTCCACTACACATCGGGTCATCCGAAACAGGTTTACGCTGGGATAGCCTCAACGCTGTTCTACAGGGCACAAACCTTGTGCACGATGGAGGAGGACAAAAAGGCTGCGCGGAAAGTGGCAATGAGCAAACTATTAGAAAGCGGTTACTCACGGCGACTAGTTAAACGTCAATTGCATAAGGTGCTACACCAGCAGTCAAGACCCACAGCCGAGTGGATAGGGACGGTCGGATTTCCGTACAAGGAAGGCACTTCCGAGGCAATTCGGAGGGTACTAAACAAGGAAAATATAAGGGTGATCTTTCACCGAGGTCGAACGTTACGTTCGGCGCTGGTACACCTGAAGGACCCCCTTCCCAAGGATAGGACGACTAACTGTGTTTATAAAATTAAATGTAAAGACTGTGCACATGTGTATATAGGCAAAACAGCGAGAGAATTATGCACACGAATTTCGGAGCATAGGAGGCGCATTTCAAGACTACCAAGAAATGAGTTCGAATACCAGGCGATAGTAAGAGACTCGGCCGTAGCTGTGCATGCATTAGACACGGGTCACCAGATAGACCTCGAAAACGTAGAGGTCATTAGGAGGGGCATACGATCAACATCCCAGCGGTTGATTGCCGAAGCGGTGGAAATTGCCAAATCTGATGACTACGTGAATAGAATTGAGGGGGTAGAATTCCCTAATGCATGGCGGGCGGTTTTAGGCCAGCCAGCTTGACGAGCATCGATGCGTGGATCAGATTGAAAAGTGCAAACCGACTCCCATTGTCAACACTATGGGCTTATCCGTCAATGTCATGACGCACAAAGGAACACCTGGACTATTCCCACTGTGTTTAAACCACCTGAGATGACATCCCGAACTGTTCCTGTAATGACTCATGGCTCAAGACTCGGGTACCGCGGTTATCGGCCCTGTTCGCTATAAAATCCCACACCAATTGCACACTGATTCACCTGGTCTGACGAAGCCTTTATTTTAGAGGCGAAACGTTACCAAAATACTATACCAACCGATTGTTTCCAAACCTCTCTGAACTCACAGCGTGTTTTTGTTTACCTGTGAAGGAGTGTGGGTCGGCTCCGCTGATGAAACGTGGCTCCCATGCACATGCCTCCCGGTCTTATTCCTTCGGGTTTACACTGGATATGGGGTGTGCGGTTGGAGCAGTGGGTGGTGCAGTGCAAGCCAATCATGGTTCTTCTGTAGGCGTAGACGTCCTGTGGCAGACCTCATGGAGGCCATAGTGACAGGCAAATCCGAAACCGGATGCCGTCAACCATAGCATATGAAGTGCTCTGTCATCCCAGCCGAGCTAAACTCGATTGATTGCCTGTCGGACGTACACTTAACGTATGAACCGACGGTGTGATATGCGTTTGATGTGAATGTTGACAAGGTGTCTACCTGTCTATTATCTTCCACCTCGATTATACTGGCTCCAGGAGACTGTGAATCATTACTGAGGTCGGGGTGCACCATCCTCACGAAGGTGTTAGGTTCAAGGAGTGATTCCGTGGATTCACTATGGAACGGACTACAGCCCAGCCAACGCCTCTCATCGAGGTTTCTCTACGCTACGCCACGATACAAAACGCTATGTAATAACACAGTGAAGATATCACCTTGATTGGTGACGAAAAGTTGGCAGTGAAATTGTCAAGCCTAGCGAACAGTTCAACCGGCATCTGAACGTGAACTACCAGTATTCGTTTTTATGGGAGGAAGTTCACCAGGGTCAGGTGACTTGCGGCGATTTGACAGGCGAAGTGCATAAAAAACCTCAGCCTCAAAATGGAGAAACATCCAAGCACTAGGCAGCAGTGAGAATCCCGGAAGATGGACTAGGTTGTGCTGGTGGCCAGTTGAACTGATCTTTGAAGTACTCCGTCCATCGTATCAGACGACGGTGATGGCTGTTATTTTCACGCGAAAACTACCGTGGACAGAAATCAGTTGGAAGTGTTTGCGAAAGTTTCGTGAGAAGGCTCCCCGCTCCATCTCAACGATGAGTTGTGTCTACTAGACCTGGGAAACCGTCGGAGCTTAGCACCTGTGGTTTTGCGCAGTGCGCTGTATCCAACTCTAGCGGGAATTGCGCAACATGGTATTCATTAAGTGGAGAGACTGTGCCAGCAGACCGTCTAGCGAAGTCACAGACCACGGTAGCGGACTTTCGTAACGCGCTCTGAATCTGCCCAGTGTGTCGCAACGTCAGATGAGAGAGGATGCAGGTTAGAGGTTAGTGTGTTCTGAAATACAACGAGGACATTTGGGGCGACGAGTTAGTTTGCGTCAAGCTGCTTTTTGTTACATTTTTGGGTGAGTCCAAAGCGCAGAAGGACGTTAGCTCACACGAACGCAAGATCTGAAGTCAAATAAATGTTCCACATTGATTTGCAGTCCGTTACGCAGCCCCGCCAATGGCACCTGATAACGATGTGGTCAATCTGCGTGCATGCTTGACCAGGCACGGCAATACGATTGATGACTATTCAACTAAAGGTCGCTAAGAGTAGAATTGCTGCGCGGCACGACCTCGAAACTAATAAGCTGCATGTGGAATACGTGAAAGTAAAAGGCGGTTGAGGTTGACATAGATGATATTAAATGGGTGCGTGAATTGAAAGGTTCTGTGAGGGAAAACCGTGTATCATGTTTGACCCTTGCGAATGATGAGCAGAGTGCCCTGAGAGAAATATGCTTAACAGCGCAGGTAATGCAAACTTTCAGGTATACCACGGTAGGGCAATTTGGAAAAATAAGTTGAAAAAGACGGACACATTCAACATATGCCAACAGGTTGTTTGATATCGCAATTTTTCCTTTGGCTGTTTTGCCGTGGTTGAATTAATGAACGAGAGTCAGTATAACAGTAGGTGAAGGGTAAAAACGTTGGATAACCTTAATACACCAGACGTAGACATTTGCAACAGAGCCTGCAAATCTGACGAAGTAACGTGGGAAGGAATCCGATGAAATACTTAGCCACTAACGAAAAAATATCACAAAACATGCCGGGATCTGCGCAAAGGCAAAAACAAAAGTATCGAAAACCAAAAAAAACAAGAAAGACATAGCTGGTGGATTGTTGTAGCGAATCTCGAGAGCAATGCAGCTGAAATTATTGCACAGACGTGATGCACTCGGTATCGGCAGGATAGTCGCAGTAAATGGAGTGTACACACACTGATAATTGTGAAAGGAAGGAGTTCAAACTATGCCCCTGTGACTGCTGATAGGTGTTGTACACAGTCGAATTTTATGCATAAATTCAGGCAAAAAATATCGACTTCCATACCAATTTTAGCTATCACATCTTGAAATGGAAGCGCCATTGAGACAAGTAATAGCCCTCGTGAAGGGTGGCAACAGTATTTATGAACAAATATCAAGTAGACTGGGGCCGGAAAGAGCCTGTAAAGTGGGTCCTTCTTCACGAGAAGTTAAACACAGCACAGAAAGCGTCCACGATGGAGTGGCGGCCACTGGAGGAGACAAAATTCATGAGTCTAAACCCTGTTGAGTAGAAGGATAGCCTAGACTTAGTGAGTGAGAATTGCGAGTAAAACACGTCAAGGCGAAAGAGGAAAAAATCGCCTAATAACGTTAATGACTCGAAGCCTAGGGGTGCTGAAGAGTGAGTGGAGCAGTGGTCACGATGGTATCATTCATATCACATGCGGACGGGTTGTGCGAATTGGTGGTGTGATTGCGGATTCGAGATTTGGAGGCATCAATTATAGTACGATTCACAGCAGTTATGGATGAGTGGTGAGGAGAAACGTAAGCTAAGCTAGCAAGGCTAAACGGAGAGGGGAAGGAAATCGGCGGATCAGTGTTAGGCTGAGGTAAACTGATAGACTGTCCAATACTTGGTATGGTCATGTTGGAAATCACAGGTACGGATTTGGATGATATGGAACGCTGGTTAACCCGAGTAATCCGGCTAGCAACTGTACTGCCACTGGCGATGGGAACAGGCAATGGTGATGCTACCACAGGGCGCCGCGTGCCGGAAATTACCTTACTGTCATCAAGATCAGCGATGGATGAGCCTGAAGATAGGTAGGCGGCAGGCAATCCCACGGTTCCAACTGCTGCGAATGGAGTTGGTGGTGCGTTATTCTTTAAAAACTCGACAACACTGGGGTGAGTAGCCAATCGCTCAAAATAGGGGATAAGGTCCAGCAACACACGATCGTTAGCATCGTCGAACCAGGATGAAATCTGAACCTATGTTAACGAAGATGGAGACAAGTGAAAAGCGCTCTAGTGAAAATTGAACTCAACATCAGAAAGAGTTAAGTAACCACGATCTGCAATATGCGACCGCAAAATGTGTAGAACTATAGAGGTTTTTCGAGTATTGTGCATGCGGGAACACAAAATATGCACATACCGGGTAGAGGCATTGACTTATGCATGGCCTAGTGATAAAAGCAAGGAACCATGTGCTCGATAAATTCCACTACCTTATGAGGGTAGAAGAGTTTGTTAGTTCGGTATGATAATTAGTGAGTCAACATGACGCTGCACATTTTGCTGTGAAAACAAAGGTGAACGGTAGCGAAACAGATAACCTTCGCCACCTATGTCGATGGCGCAACATCACTATCTCTCTGAAGGGTAGAGTTTGCAATGCGGCCGTACGTTCGACCCTACAGTACGGTTGTGAAACTCGTTGGCCAAAGTAACAAAAAACGGCGCATGTATTTCGATTGAACATATAACTCGGATTTCAACTGGCCTCAGCAACAGATAGCAGTTGTTTGCGGATGCATCGCGAGTAACGCTTCTCGCGTGTACCTGCCTTCCCAATGGCTTGGGGAAGTAAACCGCCAATCAGCGCAGCTGATGCAGCTGTTCTGAAACGGGTTGACTTATAAATGTTCCACATTACTTGTACCCGTTTTCGGTAGCTGTTGTCGCAACTCGATTTTGCTTCCAGGCGCTGAACTTCTGATCTTGGATGGGATTTTGAGCTGGCAGGAAACAAGATTAATAAACGGGAAGCAGATAAAATGAATCAGAATAAACCAGAATAGAACCCGAATAAAGAAACTAAACTAATTCCACAGGTTGACCATTACAGCTTACAAGACGCAAAAGATGTAAATTCAGATTATTCTGTTGAAATGTTCCTTATTGCCATCGGGACGTATTGAATGGAATGACCTGTACGAAAGCTAGCCACACCTCAGATAAGCGAGGAGGAGAAACGAAAACCTACAAAGTCTTGAACAGGTTGTCAGCAGAATGTACCAGCGTATGAGTATCGGTGACAGTCTAGCTAGACTTAAGAAAAGTATGCACTGCAGCATAGAGTTTTGAACAGGTATTTTCGGTGGCTATAGCTAGTCAGACTCGGTGAAGCAATGCTCCGCACTAAGAGCCAGCTAGCTGTTGCCACATCAGCATCTGATCGAATTGATAACGTCACTCCAGATGGCCTAATAACGGCTGCACAAACCCACAGTAGTATTCATAAGTTGAGAAATGTTTAAAAACTACCGGTTGATATGATTGGTGGGCAAACATTTCGCTGTCGCCACAAAACGCTCATCAGAAAAAAGGTCTAGAATATAGTTGATGTAGCACTCATAACAATTTCGAATGACAATCGTGACAGCCAAGTGATGTGGTGGAGAGCACTCGCTGTCAGAAGTCGAAGTGCCAGCTCAAGTGGCGCAAATTCATGTCAATAATGGGAGTGGGGTGGTTTGATGTTCGATCTCTAATCTGGATCCTTCCGCCGATGTTCATCAAAACTGAAAACATCCACCAAACATCTCACAGCTCTGTTCCACCCAGTTTGATTACAAAACTGGCTCTAGCTCTTTCCACTACATGAGTAATTAACTTAGTTATGATGATAACACTCACCTAATAAACGCGACATTATCCGAGTCTATTTCATGTTTTTTGCTCGCTGCACGCATCGCCACCACAAAATACCTTAGCCCAACTCAGTATCCAAGCTGGTTTCTCGGCGTTTCTTGTTTTCTCCTATACCAGCATGTACGTTTCACGCAGTTTGACCTAGGTGCATCATCGCATTTCGTGCAGTTAACTTTACAGATAAGAGTAGGCGTCCCATCTGCGGGAACTCATATAAATGCACCAATTTCAAATCAAGAATATGACAGCATAAATCACCCTTATTTTTTATAGCCTCGATATGGCCTCTAAATTTCAATCTTTATCGGAATTTATACTTCCATAATGATTGAATAGTATGTCCAGGATGTGAGCTGAAAAATTCCTCCAACGAGCATTTCGCTAGTCATCTTGAGGACTTAAGAATTTATTTACCGTCTCTCATCGAGCGGCGTCCCGGTCCCCTTCCACTATGCACAGAGTAGGAGGCTTAGGCAACAGAAGAATCGATCCCAATACATATGTGCTTCGTGTGACCTGACCTGTAATGGAACACTCCATCTATATCTGTCGGCCTGAGACATCGCTGTATTTAGCCTTCCCCCATATTTCTTGAACTAATCAGTTAGAAAATGACACCGTGGTACAACAAGACTATATATATATATATATGCATATATATATATATATATATATATATATATATATATATATATATATCATGACAAATCACATGGTCTAAGTATTAGACGTTAACGATTTAGATACTCCAGTACTATATCGTTTAATGATATTCGCAACCTGCGCCCAAATGGACGGTGCGCAACCTTCAAATGCGTAGTGAGTAGTTTCAATTATGATGACATACTATGATGGCCTACTTCAGCAAGACCTCAATCGCCTATCCACGTAGTCTGCAGCAGTTCATCTCCCGGTCAACTCGGCCAAATCTGCATTTATGAGCCTGGGGAAGGGTGCTGACGGCCGAACCTACACCCTCGACGACCAACCGCTATTTTCCACACCATCCGTGAAGGACCTAGGTTTACTCACGCTACGATTTGAAGTCCGTGGACAACACGAACAGGTTATATCGTAACGGACTGCGCATGCTTTGGGCGCTCAAACGTAGTTTCGGCATATGGGCTGAAGAGGTTGCTACTCGCCTCTTCTGTTCAATCACTAGACCAATGCTAGAGTAGGGTTCGCCCGTCTACTTTTTTATTGCCCGAGGCGATGCACAAAAGATCGAACGGGTCCAACACGTTGCTACCAGGCTCATCCCGAGTTTACGTGACTTGGGGTATAAAGACTGTTGCGAGAAACTAGGACTCTACACCTTGTCCTACTGTCGAGTGCGAGTCGACCACATTATGACCTACCGTACTCTACATCTCCGTAACTTCCCCATGCTGATTCCAATGTTACACTTACGAGTGCCACGCAGCACAAGCGAACACAGATACAAACTTGTCGTGCCGGAGGTGAAGCGAGTTCCCAGCCAACTGTGCTTCGAACGGAGAGTGCTAATTATTTGGAACAGTTTGCCTGAACATGTAATGGAGGCAACATCTGTGCAGCAGTTCAAAATGTTGTTAGATTTATATATTACCACTATTCGATTAGGAGAACGACTGCACACTTACAATGACATATCACATTTATGAGTGCTGAAATATCGTGTTAGATATTTTAAATGTTACATGAGAACGATAGCGATATTCAAGGTTGACAACCTTTATAACGTTTTGCACCATATTTCGAAAGTTGTACAGAATTCATTTCTACTTGCTCCATAATACAGTATTCAGAATATCGGCGGAAGGATCCAGATGAGAGATCGAGTAGTAAACCACCCCCACCCCCATTACTGACATGAATTTGCGTTTGATGGTGTCGAAGAATGGATCAGTAAGAAACGTTTTATTCCTAATGTTTATAAATTATTCCCATGGGACCGGAAATCGACAATTGTGCGAAGAATATTCTTTACGAAAAATCACTTCAGGCATCTACAATTGTAAAGGGAATTTTGACACGAATTAGATGTTACACAAAAATGCTCAAGAAACATTAATTAATCATCGTCGACACCATCGCGATCAGAGTGTTGAAACCAGAACTGCGCAGACGAACTGTGGTACAAGCTTTGACATTGCGCTGGCCATAAACCGCACCGCATTAACTGTCCATGGTTAATCACGTGCATTTGCGCATGTCGCCTAGCCTGATTGAGCAAACCATTGATTTTGCAAAATGTTCAGCAGACCAGTTAGACAGAATTGTGGTTTCCTCTATGTTGACGAGGCACAAATGCTTACATGTGCTGAAACAAGGCAAGCCGGTCGACGTCGTTTACATTGACTTCAGTAAGGCTTTTGACAAGGTAAATCATGTAGTACTCCTCGACAGACTGAGGGTGTACGGTGTTGGCAGCTCGCTGTATCGATGGATCAAGAATTTCTTTGTTCCAATGAATCACGGGCAATGCTGGTTTCAGCAAAACAAATATCCCGATTTCATTGGTCTGAATCAATGTCAGAAATCAGTTCAGGGTAAAGAATCCTTTTCGGTAAACTCTCATCAGACCCAAACGTTTACATAGCACTGGTTTTGGCGAAAGCATCAACTCGGGCTGGGATTGACTTCTGGGCTGTTTGAACTATCAAAATCGATAACTTGAGACAGGGATATATATGGTATGTCAAGTGTACTAAATAAATATGTATACAATGCGCAGTGTCCGTTTACCAAGGTGGCAGTATGGGCCGTACGAGTCGTTTTTGTACACATAATTTCAGCTTCAGATGGTGAATGTAGATAGAATAGGTGTTTGTGGAATCCTTGGGAGAAGTGTTCAGACAGAGAGTGGATGACATTGAAATCATTCTCTGAAGCTGTATGGTCGCATCAAGGAGGAAGATCTGATTAAACTCCGCTTATGCTGTAGAGGTACTGCGGTGTGGAAGTTAGTGTACTGCCTAGTCCATGTGTGCTTTCTGTGTACCTTTCTGTTGCATGACGCACACGAGAATCTCCACTTCACTTCTGAACACGAATTCAGAAATCGGTTACCTTTCTTGGATGTAGATGTTATCCGAAACTAGGACGGATAATGCAGCAAAAAATTCACAGAAAGCACACATGGACTGGGAAGTACACTAACTTCCACAGCGCAGTACCTCTACAGCATAAGTGGGGTTTAATCAGAACTCTCGCCTCCAGGGCGCGCAGTATTTGTACACCGGATGCCGTCAACGAAGAACTACAGAGAATCAGCGACGCCCTCAGGGAAAATGGTTATCATGAAGCATTTGAAGGAACGCAATCGAAAGCGACCTAGGAGCATTGCTTCT